TGGCTTTTTCTTTTAGTGATTTATAACCTATCATTATGACTGTGCTTGAAGCAAAAGTACATGATGTTATCTATGTTGATTTCAGGACCAAAACAACCTAGAAATGATATTGATATTTATCTAAGGCTTTTGATTGAAGAATTGAAAGAGCTATGAGAAGTAGGTGTGGATGTGTTTGACATAAATCAAAAGGAGAGTTTTAAGTTAGGTGTTATGATCTTTTACACTATAAACAACTTTCCTGCATTTAAGAATTTATCCGGGTACAATATCAAGAGTCATAATGTATGTCCAACTTGTGAAGAAGGCACATGCTACTATCAACTTCAATATAGAAGTTGAAAAAGCTTTCTATGGTCACCAAGAGCACCTTCGCACTTCGGATGCCTTGATTGAGGAGCAAGTCTATGAACGAGTGACAGATATCAATATTATCCTTGGTAAAACTCAAAAGAATTCAAGTGCTAAAAATATATTAAAAAAACGGTCTAAGAAGATCATGTAAGAGTAGTGGTAGAATCTGACAAGGTCAAGACTGTATTTGAAGTTGTTGGTACTTTTATTGATTGGCCCTAGAGACTTATAAGTATCGTTCAAGTTATGGTACATATTGTCTTGCATTTTATTAAATATTTCTTTCCTATCATGTTTTTTATTAACTATCCCTCACCTTTTCAACTTTCCTTGTCAAATCTTCCCCCACCAAAACTTCCACAACCCTTGTTGCCACCCCTGTTGCAACCATAGCCACTGCAATTGATTCCTCTCTAATAAATTTTTTTACTATGATAATTCATTCAAAAAAAATTGTAAAGGAAAAGGATGTTATGGGTATAGAGAATCCAATTATGATTAAACAGGAATCTTTATGTCTTTTATGAATATAATTAGCTAACTTATCAAATTTAGTCAACTAACATGATTGCATTATCGTAAGTACCTCTATCGTTTATGCATCACATTGAGTAAAGGCAATAACTTTGAAATTCTTTACCCGTATCACATAACAAAGAAAGGGAATACTCTGGAATAAGGTCCTCATACCTCTAATAGTGAAGTCAAGAAGGATGTTTTCATGGTTCCATACATGTGAGTGTAAGGACCAGTTTTAAGTTAGTAGCTTTGTATTTTTTTTTTGCTAAATATGGATTTATTCTAACTCACCCTACTATTTTGCAAGGACCATCGATAGCTAATTGTTCTTTTACTGAAGAGTAACACGATCTGCTTCTTATACTTCCTCTAATACAAACCAAACAAGGACATAAAGAAAATGATAGTCTCATAAGTGTACTTGTACAAAAATTATTTAATTCAATTTTTTATGAATATATTAGCTACTATCTCATGATCTTAATCACAAGGCAATGAAAATATACCAAATAATGGTCCTGAAAAAGCACACACATGAACTCAAGGATCCTACGTGGATCAAGCCAAAGATAAGTGAATGTAATCCTTTATTAACTTGTTTGATTATTAAGCCTTATTATCGATTTCTTGTATACATGCTTTTATACAGAGTCATAGGCAACCACATAAGACTAGTTTGTATGGCATATATTGGATAAGGCATATGCTGAACATTATCACATTGGGAATGAATGAATTTACTAATGAGGTAAATATATTTTAAAAAGCTCATTTTATTGTTCTTTGAATTAGTTAGTCAATGTTTTAATTGTAATTTTATACTTTAATTTAGATATTTGACATTGCAAATCCATTTTTTGAGGATGAGGTTGATAACATCATCACACGCCAGGTACAATATTTTGTGTATGTATGTGAGGTTTAGGCAGTTTTTTGAAAAATTGTATATACCATTGGAGTTTTATGTAGTTTCTTTTGAATTTTGGATTCTTTATATGTACTGGGACTAGTTAGTTGGCGATAAATTGTATAAAATATTTTTATTTGCAAGAACTGAGGAAAAAAGTAGAAATAGATGAAACTGTATAAAAAAAATAAGGCTTACAATAGCAATTATGACTATAACCACTGATGAAAATACACTTTAATAACAATGATTATGAGAAAATACACTTTTAACAACAGTTACCATAACCAATGTTGAAAATGTCATTTTCAATAGCGGTTATCATCATAACTCTATTGCAAGTATATTTTCAATAGCAGTTATAGTGATAACTGCTGTTGAAAGTTCCAAAAAAATAAAAAAATTCAAAACAATTGACAACTTTGAATAACAGTTTTTGAACCACTATTGAATTTTTTGTTGTTGTTGAAAGTCATTGACTTTTAATAGCCCCTGTAATAATAGTGGTTGGACAATTGCTATTGATATTGTTTTTTACCTGCTGTTAAATGTCTATCCTGTATTAGTGAATTTTCATATTCTAGAAATTTAAACTTCCCCTAGCATCTACTTTTCTTATCCTCTAAAGGCATAAATTAGAGAATCAGATTCACAACATCCTTAGGAAAGATTTAAAATAGAAATAGCCCTCTCAAATTAGGAGCTCCAACAATCCAATCTAGGAGAATCTAACCTTGGAGAGAACCTTTGATCTAATGGATGGCAGTTAGCGTTTCAATGAAAACTGCAAAATCATCTTGCTGCAGTTAGAGAAAATCTAAGGAAGCTTGGGGTGGAGGAGTATGGTGGTTAGGTTTAGTTAAGGAGGGATGGTGAGGTTCAAGATGGTATAGAGACGATGAGAGAGAGAGAAGGGGGAAGTGAGGGTTAGAATGAGACAAAAGGAATGGGGGCGAACATGTCATTTCTCACCAAATCAGAATGACAAATAAATCCCTAGGAACTAGAAAATAATTATTACATTTCACAATACTGTCATTTGAATATTTCTAAGGTATTTTATTATCATTCTCCCTTTATTAAATTATATTTATTTTGTGTTCATTGTCCATAGTATGAGAAAGCCATATTAATAAAATTTATTCCATACTCTATCCACCTTATCATCTTTTCTGGATAAAAGCAAGACAAAAGGTTATAATCAGATCGATCAATTTAATCTACTTGTGACTCCATCACATTTCATTTGGCTTTATTTTATTTACGAACGATTTGATTTGTTCTATCTCCTATTCTAGCTAATTAAACTCCCAAACAAACCGTATATTTTTAAATCATCTAATAAAAAAACCATCTAAGTACTTACCAAAAAAACCATCTACGTGAAATTTGTTATGGAATTAACTTATACAAACACGTGTATTTCTTAACTTGTATATAATACATTCAAAGTCCGATACCAATGAATGAGTTCACAGCAAAGTCACAAATTGTAAACTTAATTAGGTTCACTATTAAAGCAATAAAAAATATACGTAAGAAAACAAGTATAAAAGGGAAAATGCCCAGAGTTCCAAAACCAACAAATCAGATCACGGAAAAAAGATTTTATTTTAGGCTGCTAGTTTACGTGTTTACCACAACCAATTATAAGTTAAAACTTTGACCGATTTCATTACAGTTTAAATTAAATTAATATTCTTGGAAAACGCTAGGTCCTAAACCAACCAAACGGTCCACCGCATAGTATAAGAGTTTATCACATTTACACGTTTGTTGTCAGGTTTTAGGTTTCATAGCATTTGGATTCTCTTAATAAATTATCTAAGTTATCTATAGATGCTGTCTTTTATGACTGCATCTTTTTAGCACTCCTCTTGTTGTCATCGTGAATCTAGTTGCCCCCTAGCCGTAAGGAAAATAACCACATAGAATAATAATCTAGCACTCCTCTTATAATAATCATAGGATAATATAATTTTTTGCAAATTGCGTCATTAAAATATTTTGTAATACGATAAAATTAAGCCATTTGTCATACTTTAACTCTAATGTGATTGCCTCTCAAAATTGTTAGTGACTTGGCTTGATAGTTTGATTCTTAAAATTGTTAAAAAATGGGGAAAATTATAACAAAGGACTAGAAAAGAATAATATTTATTCTAGAGGATCTTAAAAATAGTTGTTATTTTCAAGGATAAACTATCAAAGTATAATCTAAAAAATACTATATTGCCCCTAATCATATGTCCTACATTTTTTTCTAACCTTATTTCACACGTTGTATTTGACAGTTACTAACACATTGTTTGAGAGAAAGCTATTTTTGCATATAACAAGTACATGAAAAAAAACAAACTCAAACAAAACTAATTAATGTCGAAAAATTGAAGTTAATGACCTCATCTCATCTCTCTTAAAAATCCACAGATCCAGAGATTTAGACAGCACCTTCTTAGCAAAATTAAATAATTCTTTAAAATATTTTTTAAAATTATATTGATTTAATTTTTAAAAGTAAATATTTAAAAAAATTATATTGATTCAGTTATATAAAAGTAAACATTATAAAATTATATTGTTTTAATTCAATTTAATACTACTTTTTTTTAGTGTATTGTTGAAAACTACACAGCTTTATTTTTAAAAGAATATTTTTGTAACTTGGACAGTACTTCACGTTAATATTGAGGGTTGCGTCTTTTATGATAAAGTTATAATAGTCAATTACACTTATCTTGGTTCTTCATCTTAATTTTATTTTATTTTTCGTCTCTTATAATAATAAGTTTTAGTAGTATTAAATCCCTCTTCCTAATTTTCACACAAAAAAAATGTAACTTTCCAATTTTACCATTTTTTGCAATTAATACCATAATAAATTATTGTATAGGAATTCAAATGAAAATAACTAAATTAAATAAGGGGCAAACTTGAAAAAAAAAATTAATTGCTCTAATTTCACCTTGTATTAAGGATTAAAAAAATATTTCAAAATTTGACTTATTTTAAGAAGCGGAGATAGTAATTCTTAACAATAAAATAAGAAAAGTACGACACTCCTGCATTTGATTAATACAAGGCTGTTGGACTATTCCTGTTCGGACCAAACTCTAGGTTTTTAGTAATAATCTTTCATTGTTAACGAAAGATATATACATATATACTTGTGAAATCTCACGTATAAAGGACTTGTGGCTCGCTCTATATATATGGGACAATGCTATACAAGAAGAGCAATCCAAACGCTTAACATTCGTCACCCTTAAGTGAAAAATGGCTTCTCTTATCACTAAGTTGCTCCTCCTTCTCTGTCTATGCTATTCTCTCATTTGTCTCTCTTCTGGTGTTCCTAATGGGTATTCCATTTTGAACCAAGATCTTGACAAGTACGATTCTAAGAAACAAATCTTCCATCTATTCCAAGAGTGGAAGACGGAGACTGAACGAGAATACCAAACCCTAGAAGAGGAGGCAATGCGATTTCAGATTTTCAAAAACAATTTGGAGCATATTAGAGAGAGAAATGCAAAAAGAAAGTCATCCAATGACTATAGTTTAGCTTTGAACAAGTTTTCGGATATGAGTTATGAAGAGTTCAGCAAAATCTACTTACATGAGATGAAAGAGCCCGTAATTGAAAGCAACAAGAGAAAAATGGTGTCAAATGACGAATCCTGTCCTGAAGCACCTTCTTCCTTGGATTGGAGGTTGTCTGGAGCTGTAACTTATGTTAAAGACCAAGGCTCATGTGGTAAGTTTAAATTAACTGAGTTTTTTACAGCCTGAATGAAGCATATATCACAGAAGCATATTAATAACTAAAAATCATTCCTACTGTACACAGGTAGCTGTTGGGCATTCTCTGCAACTGGAGCCATAGAAGGAATAACTCAAATTGTAACACAAAATCTTCCATATCTTTCTGAACAACAACTCATATCTTGTGATACGAATAACAATGGTTGCCAAGGGGGGTGGCACTATAAGGCATTGGATTATGTCATGAGAAATGGTATTGCTACTGAAAGGGATTATCCATATACAGCTAGCGATAGTGCATGCAATTCCACTCAGGCTAGTGTTTAATATTCTTTCCCTTGACTTCTTTGCTTGTGTCGATTGGTTAGTTAAAGTGTTTTACTGTTTAATTCTGGTTTAACACTCTTTTTCTTTAATTATATGATTCAGGAACAAATGAAATTTGTTACTATTGATGGCTATGGTTATTGGTGGAAGACACCTATATCAGAAGATTCTCTCTTTTGTTATGTCTTCAAGCAACCTATTAGTGTTTCCATATATGCAAGCCCACATTTTAAGTCCTACGGAAGTGTAAGTCATCCATATCGATCTTCATTAGATGCACAGAACTGATTCCCCAATAAATTAATGAAAAGAACCATAAATAAACAAGTTAATCAATGGTGGTTTGTTTCTCGTGTTTTTATCACATGCATCACTACTATCCATTATATTTGCAGGGAATCTTTAGCGGGGATGATTGCACAAACAATTCTACATGTAGTCATAATCATGCTGTATTAATCGTCGGATATGGTTCATCGGGTACGGATCAAGATTACTGGATTGTGAAAAACTCATGGGGGCACACTTGGGGACAGTGTGGTTACATCTTGGTGAAGAGGAACACTGGTACTACTCAAGGAGTGTGTAACATACATTGCTCTGGTTCTTTCCCAATGAAAGACACACCAACTTTGAAGCTTGCTTCCTCTATATGAAGAACAGCAATAGTAAATAAAGCCATGTAATATATAGTCATGTGCTGGGCGACTTGGGCTTTTGTACACTATGTATTAGGCACGAATAAATGGCAAATGATTTGCCTTCAAATGAAGCTTAATTATGTAAGCTCTAGTTATGAATAAAACTTTCTATATGTGGTTCAACTTTTGATCTTCCAAAAGAAAGAGTGCATCGTTCTGATGAAAGTTATCACTGAAGTAGTTTCTGAATATTAAAATTGTTTCTTTAATTAATCTTAATTAAGCCAGCATGAAAGTGAGCTGGAAAAAAGTAAAGTCAAAGTTTATCCAAAAAAAAATTAAAGTCAAAGAAATAAAAATGATAAACTATATTCTTATTGCGTCATTTAGTGAACTACAGCACCTAAATTATTTTTTTATTTTTTATTTTTATACAGTAAAGTAAGAACAGATGTGGGGCCTGCAGTGAAAACATGTTTAAAGGTTAATTTGTTCTTGTTTAACTACACATGCAAGCCAAGTCATTAACATATTTACACATTAAATTAGTCTAAAAGTCAATGTATATTTTAAAACTTAAAGGACTAACATAATAATTTAAGAAAATGTAAGGAATTAAATTGATAACAAATAAATTTGAGGAATTAAAAATTTTATTATACATATTATTTGATAATTAATATAGTATTGTTCTTCACATCAATATCAAAATTAATAAAATATAAAATTTGTAGCAAACTACAATATTATCAAATTATGGGTGCTGTAATTCATTTTTGAAACCCTATGCAAGCTCATATAATTATTAGTGCAGACAAATTAACCAAGTGTATATTTAATCTCGTTTTCAGGAAAAATGCTCACTCCCAATGGAGGCAAAGAGAAGCATCAATGATTGTATTAATAATTAGAGTTGGTCACAATGCTACGCCAGGTCATATCCTTCTGCATGAGCAACACCACAAAGAACAATAACAATAAAGAATAAAGAATAGCGAATAATGAATGGGCTAGGCCTGTACACATAATTAACAGAATGATCAAAGACTAAGACAACTTGGGCTTGACCGTGTTGGGCTTCCTATCTCATTTTGAACTCTATCATTCCCCCTCAAGCATGAGGCAACAAGGGTAAGACCGAGTTTGTCCCTAAGCAAGACAAAACAAGTTGAAGCAAGCGGTTTGGTAAGCATATCAGTAAGTTGATCGGTGGAAAGAATAAACCGAATAGTGATTTGCTTGGCCAGGACAAGATCACGAACAAAGTTGCTTTGTTCGAGCATGGAAGACAAGATTAGAAAATAAAGCTGAAGCACTAATGTTCTCACCTTATGGTGGAAGCATGTTTCGGTGGCAAACACAGCTCATTCATTAGAGAATGAAACCACGTCAACTCAGCAGAAAGTATGTGCCAAAGCCTTCTATTCTGATTCAGCACTTGATCTAGCAACAACATATTGCTCTCTTTGATGACCATGAAACAAGTGTGTCACCAAAGAAAACAAAATATCCACCAGTGGAATATCTATCATCTAGATAGGAAGCACAATCAGCATCGAAGTAGGCAACAAAGTAAAGAAAATCATGTTCTTAATATGAAAACTAAGATTAATAGTACCCTGCAGATAACGCAGCAAATGCTTAATCGCTTTCCAATGATGAATTTTTGATTCAGACAAGAACTTACTCAACTTACTGACATCTGGGTGAGTATTAGCCAAACACTACAACCAACCAACAATCTTACGATAGGCACTGCTATCTATATCAACCAAAGGAGCACTATCATATTCAAAGAGGCTTTGTTCTAATGTTTTAAAATTGGACCGGACATCAAATTGAAAAGACTAATAGTTTGCAATTTTTATGGTTAAATCGATTGTCGAACCGGTATGTAATAATTAAATATAAATTAAATAAAAATAAAATTATATACATTATACACACACACTATATGTAAGAAATAAATTTGCCTTATATCTATTTCTTAATAAAACAATATTACATAACTATAAATCAATAATATCATAAACTGTAATTTTATTATTTTTGAAACAAATTTTAATAATTAATTGATACGGATTATTAATTAAGATCAATAGGTGAAAAAAGAACGTAGGAAAACAAAGAATTTAAAAATATTTATTTATTTATCTTAATTAAGAAAATAAAACTAAAGAAACCCCATTCGGACGTCAGATTGCTTTTTTTTTTTTTTTCTGTGACAAAAGATGAAAAGCATTTGTCAAATCCAAACCCAACTTTTCAATTATCTTTCATTAATGCATTCCTATCTTCCTTCCTTGTGTTAGCACTCGGTGCTTATCGCAGCGCTCATCACACGTGATCAAATTATGAGCTTTAATTTTATTTTGAAATTATCCCTGTCATTTATTTTAAATTAATTTTTAAATATTATAAATATTATATTTATTAATATAAAAATTGTAAAAAAATTTGGTGTTAAATCTGGGATGTAATGACCCAGGAATTTGAGTAAAAATGAAGTTTATAATAAGATGTTTTAAGAATAATAAAATTATTATTATTATTATTATTATTATTATTATTATTATTATTTTAAAATGGAATCAATCAAAATTATTTGTGGTACAGTAGTAACCTTGCTTGCTGAGCAATCTTAAGTTTTGGAGTTTGAATTTTCTCTTAAATTAGGAGAAATTTGTTTAGTTATAAATTATTTAAAGTTTCATTAACCGTTATGAAATCATATTTGGTGTGGGTGCTAATTATTTTTGAATTTAACTGAAATTTTGTGAAAAACGTTGATCAAGAAATTATTGTAAGTTTAACTTGAGTAATGCAACAAATTTTATAATTATAGAAGTTATTGTAGTCAGTGGAATATTTGATGTGATATGTATGGAAAATTGGAGCTAAAATATAATGACCTTAAATTAAAAAAATAAAATAAAAAATAAAAAAAATTAAAAGTTAACTTAATTAGTATTTTAGTTAAATCAGATTTATAATAAGTGAAAATTGATAGTTTAATAAAATTTATGTTAGTAATTTTTTTGAAGTTTCAAAGTTTGAATTTTATTAAGTAAAAAATTTTGATTTTATTTTTTTAAAATTATAGGTAAATTTTGTGCCCTTTTTTTCTAATTTTTCTTGTGCCATGTCTTGTAATTTTCTCCAATTTGTCATTAGATGAAATATTTTTCTCTCCTCTGCCATTTGAACCCCAGAAGCTACGAGAGAGAGTGAGACGCTTCATTTTTTTTTTTTATTCTTCTTCCAGTCGTTCGAGAGAGAGAGCGATAGCCTCAATCATCAGACCTCAGATGGATTCCCTTCCTCCGTTCACCTCCTCTGTCGTTCCCTGCTGCTAGTCCGTCGTCCTCTTCTGCCAGCCCGTCGCCGGTCAGTTTCCGCCGTAGGTTCGCCGCTTTTGAGGTCTTCGTCTCCTCCTCCTTCTCTGCCCCTGTCATTGTTGATTGAGCTGTGCCTCCTCGCCGTTGCGTTCAGACTCTAGGAGGTTACAGTCATCGGATTTTTCTCCCCTGTTTTTGTTCTTTGCTCTGTGTCAACGGTGGTCTCTAGATGTGTACTCGGCCTCTATTTCTCCTTCCCTCTAAGCTGCAGAATGTTGAGTGGGTGTGTGTCCTTTGCGGTAGGAGGTTCGGACTGTGGTTGTCTCTTCCCTTGCACTACCATCACTCTTCCTCTGCCTCTGTCATCGGGACCTTCATCATCATCTTCTCTTGCTTCAAGGTGTTTGAAAGAAGGGAAGCTTAATCGGTGGAATTGCAAGGAGTGAGTTTTAAACCTTAATTGTACTGCTGAGAAGTGAACAGTGACTCAATAACTCGTTAACAAATTCATTTTCATAAAATTATTGATTTAGCATAGTGACATGCCCTCTCTTTTATTTATATAATTATTTTTATTTTGCAAGAATAAATGATAAAATATTTTAATTTATTTATTTATATAATTATTTATTTATTTTAGTTTATAATTTTAATTTTTTATCTAACATAAAAATGTTTTTATTGTACTATATTTTATTGAACATGTTGGGTTTATTTTTTAATTGACCATCTAAAAGTATCTGTTATATTGAGAATGTTGAATTTATATTTAAAAAATGAATTAACTTTCATGATTCATGTATGAGATATATAATGATGAATTCATTTGAACATAATAAGGAATGTTGAAAAGAGATAGTATATTGATTTTATCGACCCATGCATGTTTGATTTAAAATGTGGGATTGAATTAGAACACTGGTTGCTAATAATAGTATTGTTAGCCCTTGACACGTTATGGTACACCTAGCTAGCAGGGTACTTAGGAGATGCTAAGCTTGTGCGATGGCCAACGCACATGGAATGGAGGGATGGTTATTTGTGAGCATTGTACTCATGCTTGTTTTCGTGGGCCTTGTGCCTGCACTTGTTTTGTGGCTTTAAACCGTGTTTGATTACTTACCCTTGTAAATTATGTGTCTATGTTTGTCGGTTATTTACCCTCATGGACTGTGTATCCACACTTATTAATCGTTCTAATGAAGTCCTACTGAAATAAGAATTTTTATAAACTTATTAATTTTAACTTCTTTTTTGATTAAATAATTTGATATTTGATTGTATATGATTTTATAAGCTGAAATTATACAACTCAATTGTAAACAAGGATTATAACTTGGAAGTTTCTTTATTATTTTTAATCTACTATGTACCTAATTGGTTTATGTATTTATATAAATTGTTATCATACATAACATGATTTCATTATAATAATGGTTATGTTTTTATGGGACTCATAACTGTTTTATAAATATTTCTTCCCTTTTACTTGATTGAAATTTAAATTGGGACGTTATTCATTGAAAATTTATTTTGATCTCAGATTCATTAGTCAATGCTGAACTTTTTGCTAACTTTTGAGGGGATTTTAGCTATGCTTGGAGGAAATCTGTTAGACATTCTCTCTTTTTTTGGTGCAAATGAAAAAAAACTTCTATATTTTATCTCTAAAAAGGTACAGTTATGTGCTTCACATATGCTATAGTTAGGATCTTTAATTTGATTATATGTTTTGTTTGTTGGCTGTAAGGAGTTGAGCTCTTGATTGTTATCGTATTTCATTTAAATATTGTGTTGCAGAGTTTTTAGGAGGCCTTACTTATAGACGATATTCTGCTGAAATTT